ATTCATTGATTAACATGCATGACTAGATTGAGCTAGGGACACATATAAGAAAAAAATCATCTTCTGTTTTGAAGTAATGTCTGTATTTTATAAGATAAAAATAAAGCAGCAGTGCAGTAATTACAAAATAGATATTTACACCCCATTTATTTCCAATATTTAGATAGATAGTAGCAATAATTCATAAAACACTGAACCATAATTTACAACTAGATAAACAAAACCTAATAATACTCAGAAAGACACAAAAGAAGAGACACGTTTCTTAATACTTAATGTTAACTCCTTCTTCCCTAGTGTCATTAGAGAATGGAATAGGAGGAAGGTATTTCACCCTTAATTTAAATGATAGAATTTACTGGTTAAAAGTGCGTGCTCTGCCTATAATGATGATCCGTTCTAGTGAAGAATGCTAAGTTGTCAGCTATTGTATGAGGTTTTTAGGGGAAAAACTTCTCAATTTCGGTTCATTTAACAAAAACAGAACTTTCTTTGTCTATTGATATTTCAATGTCTGCTTTCAGGTCTTAAAATGTTTGCTGTAAAATATCAGAACAGTTACTTTCTGAAGTCTTTTATTTCAATTTTAACAGAGAATAACTTATTGTGTAAACAATTGGTAAGATTGATTTGATTGAAAATCTTGTAGCTTGCTTGTCAAGTTCTTTCTTATTGTGAATTGACTGATAACTCTGAGACAGTTGGTAAAAATATTTCTTCCGCACAGATTTATATCTCAAGGCCAATCATACATACATACATACATGACTGATCCCCACTGATTTATGCAATTACACTCAATATAAGCTTTGTTAAAAGTATTTTGTATTGTATATTTTCTTGTTTTTATAAGATGATTTTTTTAATTAAGTTTTTTCACCTCTCCTTAAATTATGCTAATGATGTGTATAATCACCACTCTCCCTGATGTGACACCAAAGTACTTACAACTATTTTTATTGCCTACATTGGTCCGGTTCACTCATGACGTGAGCAGCTCCAGCACTGAAAGTAGTTTGACTACATACAAAAAGGAGAAAAAGTTTGTCAGCAGAGACAGAACCTTTGAGCATGCCACTTCGTCACCATACAAGACACCTGGACCCCGCAGATATGGACATTATATAGAGTATATGACTGATGGTAAGATAATATTTTTATTCTTAATATAGTACCGAATAGATATAAATTTCTATTTCTGAATGTGTCGTGTTTTAGTCATATCAGAGTTTCGTGTTTAAATATGAGAATACTAAGACTTTGCTAGATCTATTTGACTCAAATATTGCAAATAAGAAAATAAACACTTCAACCATAGTCTAATGTTCTAATGAGACATGGTTTACTCTTGCTCCCTGCACAATGATAAGAATTTCAGCTTGATTCAATAGGAGCCAACCAATATGTTCCCATATTTACACACTTAATTGTCATCCATGTATCTCTAGGGACCTGGGTTGTCTAAAAGGTTTCCAAACTAGCGATGAAATTTTCTTGAAATTATAATTTCAATAATTATTAGTAGATTCTTTACATTATTTTGTTTTAGAAGATTCATAGCCATAGACCGCACTATGTGAAGAATAGTAAAGTTCCCCTTTCAGACCTTGTGGTCTATAGGACAGATGATGTAAAGGTCATCTGTTCCTGTGGCCTAGGGTTAATGAGTGTGATAGTAAGTGTATGTGTTTTGAGTGGCTGGTAGTGCAGTGTTTGTGCCTGTATATGAAATGACCAGTGGACCTTGAGTGTACATGGTTGAGTGAACAGCAGTGTGTGTCAGGACTGTGTGTAAAAGGAAGTCAGTTTAGAGAACAAGTGGCTGGAGTAAAGAACATAAATAGAGACTAATAAAATCATTGTGTTTATTGAAACACATGTTGTTTTAGTCTATTACATGGTGTCAGATGGACTGACTCCACCCGCAACAACCGCTGGAATTAAATGGCAACGTAGCAGAAAATTGGAAAAGGTTCAAACAATCCTTTCAGATATATACAATAGCAAGTGGACTGGATACAAAAAGCAGAGAAGTACAGTCTATGACATTATTGCATGTGATCGGCCATGAAGCAGTGCAAGTCTATAACACTTTCCAATGGACGGATAATGAATGTAATGAATGTGAGATTAGCAAGTCCTTCCACACACTTCACTGCATTCTTAATAAGTTTGAGAAGTACTGTCTACCAAGAAAAAATGTTACAATTGAAAGAGATGGGTTTTTTTCCAGCGTTCTCAACGTGAAAGAGAGTCATTTGACAGCTTTGTCACTGACATCAAACTCAAGGCAAAGACATGTGAGTTTGATTTGCTTAAAGATTCCCTAATAAAAGATAGGATAGTTGGTGGCATAAGGAATGAGAACACCCGAGCAAGACTTTTGAGAGAACGAGATCTAGACCTTAACAAGACAGAAAATATATGTCGGGCAGCTGAGGCAACTGAATGGCAGCTTAAGCTCATGAATGAAGAAAGTGGGGTACAAGTTGTGAATTCAGCTACCAATAGCTTTAAAAGAAAAAAAAGAAATGTGAATGGTAGCTTTTGTGGCAAGGAACACATCAGTGCCCAGCCTATGGGGAAACCTGTCACAAGTGTCATATAAAAGGTCATTTCTTGTCAGTGTGCAGATCAAAGCCTGTAAGTATAGTGAAGTCAGAAGGTCAAGATGACTCCGTTGAGGAAACATTTTTCATCGGCAGTCTAAGCAACGAGTGGAACTCACTCATTCCTTTTGAAACAAACAAAACACATACACTTACTATCAAAATGAGAGTGTGCCCATGTGGCCAGCACAATGACCAACCGCTTTTACTTTCCCCAACTAATGTCAGATACCCATTAGAGCTGGGAGGACTCAGAGGCACCCAAAGATCCTGAAATTAAAAATCCCAGTCTTCACCAGGATTTGACCCCCAGTTCAGAAGCCAAGTGCTTTACCACTCTGTTACCACGCCTCCATGTGGAGAGAGAGAGTGACAAAGATAGCTATGGAGAGTGAAAAAGTAATGACATCACAGCTCTGGAAGAAAAGAGCCGAACACAAAATGGCTGGTTTCTCAACCGCTAAACCAGTTGACATTTTCACATGTGTTGCTTGTAGAAAGGAATGTTTCTCCTGAATAGGGCTCTACAGTCACATGAAGGAGTGGCCCCATCTAATCTTATATAATACAGATGGTACTTCAAAAAAGAAGATGATAATATTTTTGTTCATATCAGTTTCAGTTATGTTTGCTCAGAATGAGATGATTCATAGTTGTTTTATGCCTGAAGGAGGTCTCATATTTTATTTGAAAGTTGCCTTGTTCACACTATCTACTAGACTAAATCATAACATAAAATCTGCAGGCTCAGAGATGCCTAAATAGTAAAGTACTGAAGAAATAAAGAGTTGAAAACAATTAGTTAAATCTTTAAATTCAATTCAATGAAATAAATACTCCTATAATGAATAATAGTTACATTGAACATAAATGGCTTGTAGAAATCATATAAATTGTAAATTAGCTTATCTGAAAAAAAAGCTATCAATGGTAAATAAAGGACAGTGAATAAAGAATATTAAATTATTATCCCTGACCGACAATCCCAATGTTTTGCATTGTTTGTCACTGCACTGTGACTCTCTTATGAAGGCTCTAGAAATTTCAAACATTAAAACTCTTTAGGTCTCAGTTTTAATATTTTACCATCCTAGAGAAGTTAAAAGACTCAAAAAAAAAACAAAAAAAAACAGATACAAGAACTCTTTTGTTCCCTTAAAAATTCAATCGTTGAATAAATTCCAACTTTCTGATGTTAACTTCACATGCAATGTTTGAATGAAACTGATATTGATATGAACAAAAATGTTATGTGTAATGATGTAAACGTCACATGTAATGTTTGATTGAAACTGTGGTATGAACAAATGTTTTGTGTAATGCACATTTGCAAGACACAATTTTTTAAGGATAATAAAGATTATGAATATTATTATTAAAGTTTAACTTGTCTCAGACTAGCCTCAAACATTTTTAACATCAGGCTAGCAGACTATGTCAGTATTAGTTGTAGTAAAAATGAAACAATTACTTTGTATCTCCCTAGGTGTATTGCCCAGACACGAAAGGCCAGTGAGATCTCTCCCTCCATACAGACCATCAGATTCTTGGTCAACCAAAAAAGCCTTATTTGGCCAGAATGACTATATAGGTAATAATAATTTTGAAAATAATTGTTTCTTTTTTTTTTAAAATATATACACAGGTCAGCACATGGCCAACTGCTAAGCTTCTAAGTCTAAAATGACTATTAATTTTTACTATGCTTTTGATATTTGGATGTAGAAATGTTAAGTGATCAGCTTAGAATGTCTTAATTCTCATTCATTGTTGTAGATATACTTGGAGATGGGACAGTGCATCCAGCAGACTTGTTGACTGGTCCTAGGTGGTTGATTGCCTTCAAAGCTGATGAGAGATTGAGACTTCTGCGTCAGATGGAGTGGGAAGGAAACAGACTGAAACTTTTCTACCCATCAGAATACAACAGGATACAGAAGAGGATACGTTATTTAACCAAAATATATAACTTTAAAAGAAAAAGTAGGTCTGCAGATGGAGACATGAACCTATAAGAAGTTTTTTTTTTATTGCACAGAATATTTTTTTATTTTTATGACCATTAAAATGAAAACATTTCTACAAGTTTCATCAAGTGCTTGTATTCATTTTTAAATTCTATTTACTCCTATGGTTTAAGTGTTAGAAGATAATTTTGACATTAATTGTCGAACCCCCAAAAAACAAATGTCACTTTTAGATCTGTTCCTCTAGTGTGATAGATGACAGCATGGAGTGACCAATTTTTAGATTGTGTAAAGCACTTGGTGATCAATTTTGAAACATTATGTTTCTGGATATTGGATGTGCCATGTTTTAAAATGCCTTAATACAATCTGTTAAATTATAATGAAAGTAACTAAATACATTTGAAAAAGACAAAGAAAGGTGTTTGTGTATAATAAATTTATTATAATCTCCATTTTCAAATCACACATCACATATGTTAAGTAGACATAAAACTGTTTTCAAATTAGCATTCAGTTTATATCATACACTTATTTATATCAGATATCTGTATAAAGATATAAATAAGTCTTTATATTAACAAGAACTATTTAGACAATAAAAATATTGTTCTGCAATGTAACATGAATCAGTTCAACTTGATATTTCAATCAAAAAAAGAAACTAACTGTTAGTGATAACTGTTAGTGAACACAAAAAATGAAATAACCTTCAAACTTTACTAGTCTGGAGATTTATTATGGCAAGCTATTTATTAAAAAGCAACATCATGAATCCCTACTTTGGCTCTTTCACTATATTTGCTATATGAAACTGGGAAATGGATATTTAATTATATGTTAAATTTCTTTTTCTTTCATTTCAATAGCTCATGTGCCTAGCTAGTTCAAATATGCTGAAAATTAGAAAAAAGATCCACCACAGGATAACTTATAAAACACTTTCAAAAACCTGAATGTAAATATTTTAAAAATTATGCAAATGTTTTTCTGTATACTTTTGTCAGGAAGAAGTCTTTGGCCAGCAAAATTAAAAGGGAGACCTAAAGACAATTACAAGTTACAAAACTTTGCACTCTCATTATTTTTCTGATTGTAAAATTCCTAACGACTGAGGTTTGATGAGGAATATAAAAAAAAAATCTGATAGTTGGTAAATAATTGCTCATACTGTAGGGTATTTGTTGCAACAAATAGGTCCAGGAATATACACACAAATGTATTAACACTAGTTAGTTGATTATGTTAAGATAGTGTTTCTATTAGAGATAATATGATTAAATAAATATGGTACAGAAAACATTCATTGCACAGAAACAAAAAAATTTGAGAACAATGAATGTGATTGTAGAAGTTATTTTGTGATGACTCCCAGTATTTTGTCTAATATAGTCTACTATTGATATTAATACTAAATAATAAACTTACACATCCTGTAAAGTAGGAATCTATTTGTCAACTAAGAAGTACACACATTTGCTTACATTATTTTGTTACACCACAAAGATAGGAACATTAGGAATATGTGAAAATCACTTTCAGTGTTGGGGTATTGAAGCTGCCATACAAGTTATTAAATGATTTTTTTTCTTGGCTAATCACAGAACACAAGAACAATGATTGCAATCCATCTTGCTAAATACACTTCTCATTACACAGTCAAACCATTCAATGGTTACAATCATCTTGCAGACTGCATTTGTACGCTCTATTGAATGAACAGAGACATTAAGAATTGTATCAATAAGAGGATCTACTGTTGTGTCTGAGCAATGATTGAAAAATTAACAGAAATAAAAAGATGGCTGAATAGTAAACCATGGTTTTAGACAAAGCATTTTATTTATTAACAGTCAAACCATTCAATGGTTACAATCATCTTGCAGACTACATTTGTACTCTCTATTGAATGAACAGAGACATTCATTGCGAATTGTATCAATCAGAGGATCTCCTGTTGTGTCTGAGCAATGATTGAAAAATTAACAGAAATAAAAGATGTCTGGAAAGTAAACCATGGTTTTAGACAAGACATTTTAAAAACAGTGTATTTGAAGTTTCCTCAATAGGTCTAGAAAAAAGTGGAAGACAGTGATGATGTTAGTAATACTAATAGGAAGAATAGATAAGAGTGAATCGTATGATGAGTAGAACAAGTGCATCATATAGTCTGCTCTGTGCACTCTTATCTGTGACCTTCAGGAGCTTTGTAACAGATTGGACAATACGACTGGAGAGTTGTGAGAAATGTTTCCATACAACTTTTCAATTTACCATTACAAAATAAATAAAGATTGAAAAACCTAGAGTTAATTTTTATTTTAAGGAAAACTGTACATGTGTAGCTATCAAATGTCACTTAAGTAATTCAATAGGACAGAATGACATTCACATTTGAATTCAAAACAACTCTGACATTAATTATAAGAAAGTAAATGAAATGCTTAAAATATGGTAAAATCACATTTAGAAATCAATTCTGAACTAGATGTTTCACAAGAACAAAGAACACTGAAAAGCATGAAGACACCGGTGTGAATCACAGGTAGCATAAGAATAAGGATAAATAAAGTTGCACATACAAAATTTACTCTATCAGAAAAAAAAATGTTTTTTCTCTCTCTTAGAAACAAAACAAAAAAACAACTACTTCACTTCTTACTACAACTAAAAGTTGAAAAACACAAAAATTATGCAATAAAAAAAAGGTACACAATCAAAACAAAGAATGTATCTTATAATATGAAGTGAGCAAATCAAACATGTATAACAAACATAATAGAAACAGATTCAATTACAATGTTATATACCCTAGTCAAATTCAAGGCTGATTATTCGACAAGAAAATATTCATCACAAGACTCTCATCAACTGAAATGCACTACATAGTTTTCTCTAGTACAGACCATTCCTACAGCTGCCATTGAAATAGAGTTGTAAGTTGGTAGCCACTGAATATTCTACATCACAGAACAAGTCATCACAGTTCTAATCAATCTCAAAACCTTCAATTTAATGTCACAACCAAACTAATCATGGAATTATTTAATTTAACATGATATAGAATCATTTACAGTTTTAAGAAAAGCATCTTCACTCACAGCCTCTTGACTACAAACAATTAGTATTTTCAACTAATATAATATAAAATTAGTCTTCCATTTTATCCAAAAATACAGGATCAGTTCAGCCTCAATAATTTTTATTTTTTTTTGGTCTGGTATTTCTAATTGCTATTTGTTTGACTTTCTAATCTTTCTGAAAATGAGCTGTTCTTAAGCTGCTTCACTTCAATGATTCTTAGCTGAAATGTCTTTCTTAAAAAAAAGCACAAATAATATTTTCATGGAAGTGATTTCATTAGTTTGAAATGTAAGTAAATTAAAAAAAAATACTAGATTTATAAATAAGATTTGTAAACATGGAATGTATGTTCATTTTACGTTGATAAATTGTATATATCACAATGAAATGTATGTACAACCATACAAGGAATGAATCATTTAACTAGCAACATATTTAATGGTTTTGGGTGATCTAGTATTTAGGGATACAGTCACTGAATAGCAAGTGCCCAAACTAGAGTAGATGTAAGGTAGTTGTGATGTACAAAAACAAATCAACTGTTCTTTAAAAGCACAAGATAGATAAATATAGTAGTTATTGCCCCTTACATACCTCATTAGCAATGGTGGTTTTCAAGAAAAATGTAATTACCATATTGATTTTGTATTTTAAATATAACATTTAACAGCTATAGGCAACAGAGATAGAAAAATAATGAATTCAAAAGTTATTAAATTATTTACAATTCAAATCACACTTTGAAAAGAAAAACTCTAGAAAGAGATATTTTTACAAACGACAAATCAGATTACTAAGAACTTAAATATAATTAATACAACATAGAATGAAAATATATTCAATCTCTGATTCAATTGCACATTAGAATTCATACAATACAAAAATCATTTAATGAATTAATTAACAGACATGAAACTAAATACACTGAAAAAGACTGCTTTCAATACAATCTAATAACAGTAATAAGAATTTTTAATTTATAAACAAAAATTAGCCTTGAAAATCTGAAGTATAGAAATGTAATGTTTAAAAAGTAATGTGAAGGAGAAACATATACATCATTAGGCCACTGATGTACTGACATAACTTGGTCATTTAAACAAATTCAATTTGTACTGAACATTGGTAATAAGGAGTTCATTTCTTTCTAATTGAGAAACATTATGAGCTACAGGTTGGCCAAAGAAAAATATACTACACTGTAAATGAAAACTTAAAAAAAAATTTTTAAGAAAATAAATCTGTTTCTTGGAGAAAATACAAAATGAGCTACAAGAACCAAATTTTTAATTTCTTTTTGCACTCATTATGAAAAACGTCATATACTTGTGTAAGATTATTGCTGCTGGCAACAATTTGACAGGTTTCCATGTGCATTTAAGAAACTAAACAGCAGTGGTAAAAGTTCAAAACATAACAGCATATCTATTCTAAAACTAGTACCACCATTATGCTTGACATCATGATGTGTTACACTGAAGTCTGAAATGAAAGGGCTGAATGGCTGACTTTGATTTGTGTTGATCCACTTCTCTCATTATATAAACTACAACACAAACTCTATGGTAATGCTGTGGAACGACATGTATCTGTGTAGGTGTAAGCAGGGGAAGTAACAGGACATGTGGGGCAAAGCAGAAGAACTCTTAAATATTTTTAGTGTCCAGTAGTAAGCTCAATACTAGTGCAACAACACATGTTGCCATCAATACTGATGCAGCAACTTTTGTTTGAATATAAAGGAACTTATCTGCTTTAACTAATGGGTCTCACAAGAATTGCAGTCAGTTTTCATAGCCATATTGTGTTGGGGAAAAAAATGCATTTCAGGTGACATTCTAATTTGTTTATTTGTTAGGTTTATTTCTTCAATGCAGCTGCTGCCGCCTCCCTGTAAGAAAAAAATAAATTAAATTAAACCAATACATAAAAATTTTTTTTTTTTTTTTTTTTTTTTACAAAATCTGACACTATATAAAATTGGGGTACTATTACATAAGTATTAAAAAAAATCTTTGAGAAGATGTGTTGATAAAAATGAACTATATCACAAATGAAACATTTATTACAAATTTTAAGTTATAATGACCAGAAAGGAGGATTATTAGACATTGATAAACCAGTAATTTTGGACAGGAAGGGCTTGTTAGCCTTGGCTGGCTACCCCCTGGGAGAAGGACCTGTCATTCCTTTGAATAGATTACCTAAGAGCTAAATGGAAAGGGGGGGGGGGGGGGTAATTGCTGTGTGGGCAACATCGTTCCAGCCATAGCTAATGTCCTGGTACTCATCTTCATGAGATGATCCATAGTTATTTTGCATCTGAAGGAGGTCATATAAAAAAAGATTTTCTGCACATAGTTTACGATGCAGTCCATCTTGAGATTCCTCTGCCCTGGTCGATGACCTTAGTGGAGAAGGCCTTTCACCCAGTCATGTCATTTTAACTCCACCCAATCACATACTTATATCCAACAGCTGATGCATTTTTTCACTGCATGGCGCTAGGAGCCACACATGAGGGATTTAGGAGATGAAAGGGGAACAGTGAGGCCTTCCACAAAAAGGTGCAGAATGATGGACCTTCAAAGGTGAAACCCCTTTCCAGGACCCTCTATGTTCCCTACTATATAGGCAAAAGGAAGATGGTTTGCTAGTGTGGTATGCACTAAAGAATGTTATCACAATGGTGCTGGCTGTGAAGCCTGACTGTAGGCAATCCCAGTTGTGAAGTAGGTTTGAGCTAGATTAAATTAATCTTCCTTTTTTTTTTAAGGAAATTATCAGTTATTTTTATCTATTTGAAGCTTTTTAGTTCGAAAGAAATCTTTGCCTTTACAAAACCATTTTTTTTGTCATTAAAAAAAGAGATGAGCTTATACTTGTGTCTCACTGGAATTTGTTTGGTTGTAGTAGAAATAAAACAAAAAAATAAAATGGTTTTTGGTTTATTAATTTTAACATCCATCAGAATCAATTACCTGGCCTCAGCTTCCTTCTTTTCAATAATTGCTCTCTTCCAAGCTGGCACATTTTTAAACCTTTCTTCATTGTCTTCAAACTGTAGAGAAAAGAGACAAAACATTGCACAATTAATATATTGAATCTGTAAATGCCACAGGTGTGAGTTGTGGGCTTGTTTTAACTTGCTTGTTGTTTAGGTAGATTTGAAGGCCTTGGGAGTTGATGTTTGAACTTGTCATACTGTTGCAATTTTTGTAGATAAAATCTAGCTACTAATGTAAGCAGAGATTCATCACATATACATTATAGAAAACCAGTGTTTTAATTTAAATAATTTAATACATAACTGCAAACCATTTGAAATACAGATGCCGGAATTACATGTATTCAATAGAAGTAACAATAAAACTGTTAGTCAAGTCTATCAGGGTAGAGAAAATATAAATCCAGTCAGAGAATAGACAACACTAGATCT